GGTACAATTTAAGCTAAAACGGCTTGCCATACTCAGACCTCTCCCTAATCATCTCCAGCAGCCCCCGAAGCACCACGTACCGTTTCCCTCGTAAGCTGATATCAGTATTTAAACATTCTCTGATAAAAAATGTTTAAAAAATGCGAGGTTCACAATGCAAGGACACACTTTCTCTAATACACACACACACACTGTCTCTTTCTCTCTCACTCATTTGTAGTTATAAACTCTTTAGACTTTTAATGATTAGTGCTTCATTTTTAAAGTTTGTGGTGGGTAAGAATCGTGTAAAAAAATTCCCTTATTTTGGGGATGGATTCCGGGAAATCTCCCTTATATTCAATGTTCAATGTTGACAGCTATGATCTATTATGGAAGATCAAGTGAAGTACCTAACTGTGAAGGGGATATCAGCCGCGTTTGCGGGCAAACATGAAACAACAGACGCTGACATCGCAGCTGGCCGATTCAGTATTGTGTTCGGTTTTCTTCTCCTCCTTTGATTTTCTATGCTGACTGACTTGTTGCACGCCGGTCTGTTGTTGTGGGGACATTTCCACGTGACGCTGAACGAAACGAACTGTAATTGGTTGTTTGACATGTCGGTCAAACGGCCTTATGGGCGGGCCTTGGCCAAAGAAAGCTGCTATGAGTTCCAGACCTTCAGCCGTCAGTCTGAAGGTCTGGCTACGCGAGACTACTGTACTTAAGTAGCTTTTTTGCGTATCTGTAGGCTACTTTACTCAAGTATTTAAATTTTGGGAGACTTTTACTTTAACTCCACTACATTTCAAAGTCAAATATCTTACTTTTTACTCCACTACATTTTCAAAATCAGTCGTTCCTTTTTATTTATGAGTGGATAAAAACGTAACTGGTCAAACGAGCCACCAATGAATCACAGTACAGCGGAATCTACTAAGCGCGAACCAGGGGTGCGTTTCCCAAAGCCAACTATGGTCGCAAGTTCCGTCGTTAACAATAGAGTTCAATGGAAATTGCGATCATAGTTGGATAACGATGCTTTCGGGAAACGCTCCCCAGAGCCGTTAAATATGAGAGTTGCGAACATAGATGGTTGTGACAGTGATCTCGCCGACGCGCGGTCACGTTATTCGTGTGGCTCTCAATAGTTCCAAACAAATCGCGTTGACAATGATTTTAAGCGGGACAGAGAGTAGCAGCTATTATTGCAGCAATTATCGGTAAGTATTGACGCATAATGTACTGCTTACGTTGCCACTAAAATGACTTGCATATAATAGCTTTTTTTTCTGGGGAGTAGCCTAGCAGAAACACTGCATTAATACGTTTTTGGGTTTAATTTTGGAGGGAATTGGCTGCTCCCATAACATATATATATAGAATATATATATAGGCTATATATAGCCTATACTGTATATGTGTGTGTGTGTGTGCGCGCGCGCGCGTGTGTGAATATATGTGTGTGTGTATGTGTCTGTGTGTGTGTGTGTATGTGTGTGTGTGTGTATATATATATATATATATATATATATATATATATATTTAATGGCGTTGTGCAGGTTTATGTGAATGTATCTTAACATTAAGATGTTAATAATTATGACCATAGGCGCTGGAGAAAAATATATGCAGTAAATACTGTAAATGTTTTATACCTTATGGGAACAGTCCCCTTCCCTCCAAAATTAAACACACAAAAAGTTAATTCAATTCAAATATATATACATACATACAGTATATATATATATATATATATATATAGGCCTATATATCATACTAATTCATGTCATTTCATTAATAGATTGGTGTGCCAAGAGTGACATTAGTCTTCACTTAGACTGAGTTAAGCGAGAGTCTTGTGACAAATTATAATAGGACATTATAGCCATAAAAAAAAATCAAAGTACTTGGATACTTAAGTACATTTGAAGCCAAATACTTTTGTACTTTTACTCAAGTGAATGTTTAAAGGCAGCACTTCTACTTTTACTTGAGTAATATTTTACCTTGAGTATCTTTACTTTTACTCAAGTATGGTATGTGTACTTCGTCCACCACTGGCTAAAGGGCTCTTAATGCCTCTCGACACCCCTGTCATGAACTATGCTAAACGCTGTCACTGGCCCGCTCCACTATCAGGCACGTGTTGGGGAAACAGGAACTTGCATGTGACAGAGTGTGTCTGAGTCTGATGTCAGATTGGCTGCCATGTCGCATTAGGCCTTGACTGTTATGAGTGGGCAAATAACAGTCCTGTCTAATGCATAACCTGTGTTTATGAGAAGACTGAACACCTTTTGTCTTCACACAGGTATAGTCTCAGGTAAGAGGCACTTTTGCTTCGCAAGTTTGCATAATCAATGCAACTAATTATATCAAAAAGGGGTTTAGATTTATTCAAAGGGATAGTTCACCCAAAAATGAACATTCTGTAATAATTTAGTCACCCTCAAGTTGTTCCAAACCTGTATGAATTTCTTTTCTTTTCTACTGAATTTAAATGGTGTTACAGTTTCGCGGGGATGCCTTATAAATAATAAATGTTACACATTCGGTATATGAGTAGGTCTACTATTTCGACTTCCTTGTTTGAAGCACAACATCATTCATGCTATCTCAACCATGGCTGTTTTAGCCACACAAACATAAAGCCTTTCTGAGGATGAACGAGAGGCTGACAGTGAATATGCTCGCAATATCTTGAACGTTATTGCCCCCTTGCGATTCAAATCAGAATAACACGTCTTTTTATCTTTGCCTGTGTTCTTTTTGTGTTATTAATATAATATCCTTATAATAAAATTCAAATAAAATAAATATATATTCTTGTCTATTTAGAATTAGCTTTTATTTTTCATATTTCAGTCTTCATTTTAGTTTTAGTAATTTTGTCATGTTTATTACTATTATTATTTTTTAGTAATTCTACAGGCCTATAACTTTTATTTATTTCAGTTTTAGTTTTTCATTTAATATTTATATTTTGTCATTTTGGATAAAAAGCATGGTTATTTCGCATTTTAATGCAAAATATGTCGTAGGCCATCCGGTTATTCTGTGAATACGGATAAAGCGCATAATGTGAACATTACTGTATAGATTTTAGTTTTCATTTTACAAATTTTTCTTTATGCGCTTTTGCCATTTTTATTTATTTATTTTATTGCATTTCTATATAGCTTTATTTTGATTTCAGTTTTAGTAATTTCAGTACTTCAAATTAAAATTATTTCAGTTAAAGTTTTTAAAGTGTAAGTTTTTCATTTAATATTAATAATTTATTTAAACTTTATTTCAATTACTGAAAATAATTTTTAATTGTTTTAGTTAACAATAATAACACTGATTATTTATATTGCTTTTTTATTATGTGAGGGAATGGAAACAGAAGATTGAACTCAAACATAGGTAAATAACTGTACAAATATGGGATTAAGTACCCGTTTTAAAGTGTTCCTAGAAGTCAAAGAGTCCATTTAAATTTTAAAATGATGTTAATTACTTTCCATTTTGTAGCATGTATAAACCAAATGTAAACTGTTATGCAGCCTTTCATTGAAAAGAATCCTTTACTGTTTTTGTTTTGTTTTTTGGGTGTTTATGCCTGTGAAAGAAAACACAAAAACTGAACAGATACATAAATATTCAGCCATGCATAATGAAGAGCTTTAATAATGTTTCAATGTTTTTCACCTCGAACGCTTTATGTACAGCAAGTGCTTTATCTGTAAAAGTGCTGCAATGGGAAATATATGACACTCTGTACACATTAAAAATCATGTGGAAACACAATTCAACCAATAGCTATTAAAAAGAAGCTGCTTAACACTGCCAGTAGCATAGACATTCATTGCAACGACTTTCAAATTAAGTGACATTCTGATAACAATTATTTTGCAGGCAAAAACTAAATCATCATGCAAACCCTGTGACCGTCCATCGTGGTAATGGACCAACTTAAAAGAGAAACATGCATTTGTGATGTGACACAACTGTAAAAAGTTAAAAAAATGCAGAAGAGGAAAAATAAAAGCCTGGAATACTCACACTTAGGGCTAAACTTTAGAACTGTACATTAATTATTCTAATGAGTGTCACAATGGTAACACAATAGAGGCACGACTTGTGCAAAAGAAAACAAGACTGTTCTACTAACTGTTCTAAACGTCACTTATTGCTTTGGTGCTAGAACAGAAAAATGGAACATTCCACATTTTTTACATCAACACTAATACATTTGTGAAACAATCATGTGCTCTGCATGATAACATTCACAAAACACACATTATCCTACCATATTTGGCAAGTAAATATTCGATTTTAAGCTCTGCTTCTTGGCAACAAATAGTAGGCTATGTAAGTATTTGATAGAAGAATTCAGAATATGACATGATGAAGGTTATGAACTTATGATTATCTGTTAATGCAGCAAGCAGAAATCATTTCCGTTTAATGGATTATTCCGGGTTCAGTGCAAGTTAGTTAATTGACAGCATCTGTTGATTACCACAAAAAAGAATGTTGACTCTTCCATTTGCTTTCTTTTTTTTTTTTAAAAATTGAAGCTAACAAGCACTTAAATCTATTATTTTGTTCAAATGTATTTTCTGAGTTGTCAAGGTATTTAAATCATTGTATTAACGGATGTTCTAAAATTTGGAACACAGAAAAGAATAGTAAGTGTTTTTTTTTACACTAAAATCATGTTAACATGTATATTGTTTACATCTTGTGGCTACACTATTGAAACTGAGTATTTTATTGTTTACAAATTGGCCCCATTCACTTCATTGTAAGGGGCCGTTCACACAGAACGCGTTTTTCCATTCCACTGCGCTACTTTTCCATTGTTTTTCAATTTAAACACGCTAGACGGACTTTTTTAACTGTTGCGCTCACGTCTCGCGTCTTTTGCAACGTCTCACACATGACACGGCATTCCACTGACCCGCGTCTCGTGTTTTTAACCGCAAAAACTGTGTGAACCGGCACTAAGTGCCTCACTGTAAACCAGATTTTGCTTTTTTAAAGAAAAGCAGAGACAAGTTAATATTATTTTGTGGTAATCAACATTATACCATAAGTGCTGTTGATTGAGCTGAATTTGTACTGAACCTTGAACATTCCTTTAACAGATTCACAATAAGTGAAGAAAGGTTATCCGTCATATACCAGCTGAAAAAGTATATGATACTGTATACAAACAAGGGCCACCTGTTTCTAAGTGTGCCTGGTATCAGTGCAGCCTTCTGCGGTGGATGTAGGTAGAAACTCTCGCATGCCTGAAGCTCACTGTCTTACCTAATATGTACCAACAGCTCGACCTACTGGTGGATAGGGAGCCCTGTCTAATCGGGAGAGATCTCCCTCCGATCCACATTCAGATGCTGATCAAGACTTCAGCATACAGTAGCTGTAAATATCACAATCATTGTGAAAGCTAAGGAGGTGCACTGTTGCCATGCGCACATACAATCAACATGGTCTTCAGCAGTGCTGGTGATCTTCAGTTGCTTCTGGTTAGATGGGCTGAAGGAGACATTGGTGAGAGAATGTGTGAGAAGAAGAGCAGCTGAGCAGTTGGGAGTAATGAGACATGGGCTTTAAGGATGAGAAGGTGAAGTGTCACAAGAGTTGAGATGAATGAGAAGCTACAGGTTGACCAGGTGAAGGTCCGAGGCCGTGAAGTGAGGACACAGTGCCATGTCAGGGTTCTTCAGCTGCTTCAGGACGCGCTTGTAGAACTTGGTGCGCACGCGGTTGAACTCCATGATGTCACACGGGTCCTCCTCGATCCAGAACCTGTGGAACTCCTGCATCAGATAACCTAAGAAAAACAAGAAATGATAAATATACAGGTTTTTTATATATATAAACCAAATGTAAATTCATGTCCCAGTTATACCTACACTTAATGTTTTCAATGTAAAAAAATTTTTTTATAATAATAAATAAATGAAACCAAATACAATTTTATATTGTATTTTTATAGTAATAAGTACGGAGCCCCTAAAGGGACCTTTGCAAAAATAAAAATATACAGACTTTCACGTGCTCACGAGAAACTATCGCTAAGTTTCTCGTGAGCATGTGAAAGTCTGTCAAAGTCCATTTATTAATGTTTATAAAAAAAAGTATAAAAGTTAAGAATTTTTACATTTATTCCAAAATAACAGCTAAAAGCAGTAACAATATTATTTCCGAACTGATGTTCAGCTGTTCTTTTTAATAGTCAACTTATTTTTGGATCATCAGTCATGCTCTGTAAACACTGGTCACAAACAAGATATACCTTTTATTTCACCAAGCTGATTGCTCAATAAAACTCCCAGAGTCATCATGTCTTCAGGCCATTTCAAGTTTGATTTAGATGTGACATAAAGAGGTGATATCTGACTGAGTTGATATCTGACTGACATTTTGTTCATTCAGACTGCACACGAAAACAAGAGGCGGGATTTATCGCACAAACCAATCATAGCTCAATGGAGACATTGCCTCCTCTCACATGACTTTCCCTCATTCATTCTCAATTACCCCCCTCTAAACCCACCGCACACTTTAGGTGGGTCTGTTAAAACTCAATGGGCTCAGGGGAGGCAAGAGAGACACGAACTCCAGCTGTAACTTTACCAGCTAGTGTCACTGTTGGACAGTGTCACTTTAGAAAAACTAGTGATTTATACACTTTTTAAAGTAAATTTTGCTTTTATATTTTGCTTTTAATATAATGTAATATAATTACATATATGGTCAGGAAAAGAGCAAGAATTGCACAAATACTGTAGAAACTTGCAGACAGCTTTTTACAGGGAGAAGAGTCAGTGTTGTTCCACTCAATTTTAATGGCTTCCAACAGTTCATGAGTAGTTGAAAAATGTGTGGTTGTCTTTGCAATTTGGGCAGGAGCATTGTCTTGTTGAAAAATAACATCTGAACAGTCCTCTTTAGATAGCAAGTTTTCAACTGTGGGAAGCAAGTCATTCTGCAATGTTCTCCTGTACTCCAAAGCTTTAAATGACTTTTAACAGTGAAGTAGTTCACCAATACCAGCAGCTAAATATTTTATATATATACAGGTCCTTCTCAAAAAATTAGCATATTGTGATAAAGTTCATTATTTTCCATAATGTAATGATAAAAATTAAACTTTCATATATTTTAGATTCATTGCACACCAACTGAAATATTTCAGGTCTTTTATTGTTTTAATACGGATGATTTTGGCATACAGCTCATGAAAACCCAAAATTCCTGTCTTAAAAAATTAGCATATCATGAAAAGGGTCTCTAAACGAGCTATTAACCTAATCATCTGAATCAACTAATTAACTCTAAACACCTGCAAAAGATTCCTGAGGCTTTTAAAAACTCCCAGCCTGTTTCATTACTCAAAACCGCAATCATGGGTAAGACTGCCGACCTGACTGCTGTCCAGAAGGCCATCATTGACACCCTCAAGCAAGAGGGTAAGACAGAAAGAAATTTCTGAACAAATAGGCTGGTCCCAGAGTGCTGTATCAAGGCACCTCAGTGGGAAGTCTGTGGGAAGGAAAAAGTGTGGCAAAAAACGCTGCACAACGAGAAGAGGTGACCGGACCCTGAGGAAGATTGTGGAGAAGGACCGATTCCAGACCTTGGGGGACCTGCGGAAGCAGTGGACTGAGTCTGGAGTAGAAACATCCAAAACCACCGTGCACAGGCGTGTGCAGGAAATGGGCTACAGGTGCCGCATTCCCCAGGTCAAGCCACTTTTGAACCAGAAACAGCGGCAGAAGCACCTGGCCTGGGCTACAGAGAAGCAGCACTGGACTGTTGCTCAGTTTTGCATGTCATTCGGAAATCAAGGTGCCAGAGTCTGGAGGAAGACTGGGGAGAAGGAAATGCCAAAATGCCTGAAGTCCAGTGTCAAGTACCCACAGTCAGTGATGGTCTGGGGTGCCATGTCAGCTGCTGGTGTTGGTGCACTGTGTTTTATCAAGGGCAGGGTCAATGCAGCTATCAGGAGATTTTGGAGCACTTCATGCTTCCATCTGCTGAAAAGCTTTATGGAGATGAAGATTTCATTTTTCAGCACGACCTGGCACCTGCTCACAGTGCCAAAACCACTGGTAAATGGTTTACTGACCATGGTATTACTGTGCTCAATTGGCCTGCCAGCTCTCCTGACCTGAACCCCATAGAGAATCTGTGGGATATTGTGAAGAGAAAGTTGAGAGACGCAAGACCCAACACTCTGGATGAGCTTAAGGCCGCTATCGAAGCATCCTGGGCCTCGATAACACCTCAGCAGTGCCACAGGCTGATTGCCTCCATGCCACGCCGCATTGAAGCAGTCATTTCTGCAAAAGGATTCCCGACCAAGTATTGACTATTGAGTGCATAACTGAACATAATTATTTGAAGGTTGACTTTTTTTTTTTTTTTATTAAAAACACTTATTTTATTGGTCGGATGAAATATGCTAATTTTTTTAGACAGGAATTTTGGGTTTTCATGAGCTGTATGCCAAAATCATCAGTATTAAAACAATAAAAGACCTGAAATATTTCAGTTGGTGTGCAATCAATCTAAAATATATGAAAGTTTAATTTTTATCATTACATTATGGAAAATAATGAACTTTATCACAATATGCTAATTTTTTTAGAAGGACCTGTATATATATATATATATATATATATATATATATATATATATATATATATATATATATATAATGTTTTAATTTACATAATGATTAGGGCATTTCATTTTATGTAATTTAATGAATCATAAATAATATATATGATATATAATTTATATCATGCTAAATGATTAAATGTAAACATTTTTATTTGGTTATTTTTACGAATGTAATAATTGTATAATTTAATGGCCATAAATGATGTATATAATTTAAAATGTATATTTAATTTTACTTCAAGAGTAGTTTTCACAACGAGAACAATGGCAACAGTATGATAACACTCACAGAAGGTCTGTTGGAAGTTCACTAGACTTGGCATCTCTGGTGCCACATTGTACAGATGAGTCTTCAGAGCCCCGCTCACCAGCAGGGAATATGCCAGGTCTGTGATGTTTATGCCAACTATGGCAAAGGAGTATCTGCACCACAAAAGATTTGGGTCAGCACAAAACACAATGTAAAAGAAATCCTTGTTTAGTGTAAATACACATTATATAATGTTAAGACACTGCCAGTGTTTGCCTGTGTGATTACATGTTTCTGTGTGCACATGTCAGCTGCACAGTGATTTAACAGGCTCCACGCTACACATCAGAGCTAATGCATCCTGAAACCCTCAAACAAAGCATCAGTGCTGCCACACAAACAGAGTTCAGGGACTCAACTACTAATAACTACTGCACACACAGCAGAATTATTTTTAACATTCACAGATGTAAGAACTGGTGTTCATGTTAGGCAGCACCACTCTACAAATGAATGTAGTGAAAATAAAATAAAAAACATTTTATTAATGGTTTAATGATTTTTTTTATTTATGTTTTTATTTTGCTAGTGTTGTGGATGCTTTCCTGGGTGTTGCTATGTGGTTGCAAAGGTGTGTTCAGAGAGCTTTTAGGATGTTACTGTGAGGTTGCAAATGTTATTTGGTTGCTTACTGACCCAAGTGAAAACACAGAGCACAAAGTTTATGTTCTAGTACCTTAAATTTGTGTGAAATAGTCTGCAATATTCTGAACTCACCCAATCGCTTTGTCAAATTTGTTCTTGTCCCACTCAGCTTTGCTCATCTTGCTGTGTGAAGAACCAAAATGTTAGTGTCCACTCAATCCTGTGCTAATAGTCTTTAAACGGCTAATATAATGGTCAACTACGTCAACAACGACAATTACACATCTGAGACTGGAGAAAAGAGAAAGCATTCACAGCTACTAACCAACGTTACAATGAAGCATAATGCCTTGTGTTTAGAGTGAGGTGAGGTAAGGCGTTTTGAGATTAAAACAACAACAAAATACAGCCATTAGTATGAGGCAAAATGATCAAATGAATTTCTTACTGAGATAGAAAAAATGGAGTACCTGGCTTCCTCTTTGGAAAGGTTCCTGCGTATGACAGTGATGGGAATAAAAAAAGAAGCAGGAACAGAAAAAAAGGAATGTGTGGGTGCATGATGTGCATGATGGTGAAGGAGCATGCTGAACGTTTGATTGATTACACATCATGAAAAAATCACCTGTTAACATAAACACGGTATGCACACACAGTAAAAAGCAATACACTGATAAGAGGCTTCTGGGGAACTACACCCTAACTGACATCATGTGGCAAGATCCTGATGTTGTGTGTTTGCTCATGTGCATTTAAAGCTTAAATGTGTCTTAAAGCCCATCAATCATATTTAGGGTGCTTTTTTGGATATAACAATGTATCATAACTAAGTATATACAGTAGAGTGAACATAGGAACCACTCAAGAGGATTATCTGAGGGATCTGACCTGTGTTTGGGCTGCAAGGAGTCATGGAGAACTTGGAGAGCAGTGGCTTTATCATTCTCTGCAAAATATCTGCAAATAAAAGGGGGAAAATCAGCCATTGAATTGTCCTGTTCGAAAACCTAGTGAGCTACCTATATAGTGTTCCAAAAGATACCCACTGAGATACCTCGTTTTGAGAAAATGCTTTTCAACAAGATCAGTGAAAAAAATCTAAGATAGCAAATGAAATATTGATCATAATGTAAAATTATTTAATTCTATAATACAAAGTAGTGAGAAAAACTAGTTGAGTGTAGTTCAAAAAATATATTTTGAATATATTTTTTAGCTTGGCAACCTGTTAGCATCAAAATCGATTGCTAGCTGATAAAAACTAGTTCAGTGTCATTCAAAAACTTATTTTACTCAATGTGTGTTATGCATTTAATGTTTATTAGAGTATATCGTGTTGTTAGCTTAGCAACATGTTAATGTCAAAATTTATTGCAAACTGATAGTTCAGTGTCATTCAAAAACTTATTTTACTCAATGTACGTTATATATGTAATGCTTATTTGAGTATTGTGTTGTTAGCTTAGCAACATGCTAACGTCAAAATTAGTCCAGTGCCATTCAAAAAACGTATTTTACTCAATGTATGTTATGTATTTAATGTTTATTAGAATATGGTGTTAGCTTAGCAATGCTAATGGCTAAATCTATTGCTATTTTAGTTGTGAATGCCTATGCAGAGCATTCCAAATTGGTCTTTTATGAGGTTACATGATGGTTGGGATGCTGCTTTAAAAGGTAGCAGTCTATTTAGTTAGTAGACAGTAAGGCTCACTATGTTTTGGAACAGGGTTAATATCTGGTATGATCTAAATAACTAGATTTCACTTAAGCACATATGTTTAAAGTAGTATAAAGATCTAATGTTTGTGCTGATTTCACCTCAGCAGATTCTACCAGGCTACTCACAGTAGGTTGTGCAAGCCCAAGAGACCCATGCCCCTGAAATCAGTCTTGGGGTCGTTTCCTTGGAAACCAATCTCACACCATTGCTTGGAGATGCGTCCAGAGAGAGGAGAATCAGGGCGGAGTTCCTTCCACAGCTGGTGAGAAAAATATGTTTGAGAAAGGTGTCACTTTTAAAGACTATTACATATAGATGTTAAATTTGTAGCTATTGAAGTTCTGTTAAATTCTGAATTATAATACCCTATAACATATTTCTCAATCATTAAAAAAGACTGGCAACCACTAATACCTTCATGAGCATCTCCTCATGTGCTGGGTTTTCACAGTCGTACGGCTCTCTACGCAGCTTCTCCACCTCCACTACTAGGTTTCGGTAACCCGCAATCTGGAGGAGGCAAGCCTGGAGAGAGATGCCAAGCCTGGAAGAAGTCAAGAAATACAGTATATGTGTTCAAAAAGTAAGAACTTAGTAGATGAACACACTATCAGCAAATGACGGGGTCCTTACTGTGGGTTAGTGTCGAGGTTGATCTTTTTCAGGGACATAATATCATCGATAGTTTTCTCAACAGAGTCTGGGTGAATGCTGATGGCAGACTGCAAAAGCTATGGAGGTAGAGTAATTGAAAGGAAGATTATTCAGATATTAGCTAATACACAAAAATGGAATAATATGTAAAAAATTGTGCAGCCTTGTAGTTTGAGACGGGCTTATAAACAGTGTTGATATTGTTAACTAAACTAAGTAATACAAATCATTTACGTTAATTGAAATAAAGCTGAAATAAATATAAATAATAGATGAAAACTTAAATGAAAATTAGAAATTTTGAAGTACTAAAATAAAAAAATAAAAAAACTTAAATAAAAAATAAATTTAAGCTAAACAGAAATATATTTTTAAAAAATGACAAAAGAACATTAAAATCCCTAAAACTTAATTTAAAATGAAAACGGAAAATATCAAAATAAATAAAAAATATTGATAAATACAATAATTCTATTTAAATAATACAAAAATAACATTGCTTATTATATTACATAAAATTACAAAATACCTTCCATTTTATATTATTAAATGTTACAATAAAATAGATACAATATATAAAATATTTGTACTTCATAAACCAACAACCTCATGACTCACCTCATGTTTAGAACATTTGAGTGAGGATTCTGTGAAATGAAAGGAAACATAAAATAATATACAAAATGTCCCCACATACATTTCACTGTAGATGTACCACTAAATAGAATTTAGTACTGAAAGTATTTACCGATCTTGAGCGTCCTTCGAGCACCAGGTTTGTTATTGTAACAGATGCGTTGAAGCTCACATCGTCCTGTCACCTTCCTGATGACAAACTTCAGGCCCCGCCACAAACACTTACAGTAAAGGAACACCAGCAACTGGGTCAGTACCCTAGAAGATTCAAAGAAATAAAGAGGCCTGAATAAAGCGACACAAGTCCAGAACTGATAGGCCTAATACACTTGCGTATTCTGTCCCAGAATAAAGCGTACTCACTGGGGTATTTTGAAAGCTCATTATATTTGAGTACAATAAATCTGAACTGCATAACCTTCAGATGTGCGTTTCCCATGAACACTCCTCGAGCTATTCAAAGAGAAATGCACATTATTTTTCTCTTGTCTACAAAAGCTAGGCCTAATTCCCTTTGTAAAAAGCATATCTGTGTTTTGAGAGAGAGATGTGGGCCATGATGATGAAATGGGTCACAGTTCTGCAAAGATGTGTGTGATGAAAGTGAAATATAATTGTGAAAGTAATATTCTGTGTCTAACTACTGTATGCATCTGTTTTTGAATCAATGCATGGTTGAATTCATCCATCCGTATTATATACTAATCTAATTGCGGTCTATTTCACTACAGAAAAACACACTGGGCTAGGAATAAACCTGTTTGAGTCCGGTTGCTGAGAGTTACTGCTCACAGGATAGACTCGCCTCCCCATCGGCATGCAATGAATTTGCTGTCAAACCTGCGTTTTGTAAAAAAGGTGTTATTGTGAAAACTGTTGAACAGGAGTGACGTGTCTTGAAGGTAATAAGCAGTAGTCTGGTCTCTACCTCTAAAGGTCTAGGCGAAATACAAAACTACATTCACTGGGAGCAACCTGGGTTTAATGCCTTCAACATAATTTATTGTAAACAATATAATTAAGAGAAGTGGCTGATAAGAAAGCACTTAAAACTGAAAGCTAGAGGACAACTCACCCAGGGATAATTAATTAAAATTATTAAAAGGAAATTAAAAGGTATTTATCAGTCATTTACATTTTAAGAGCTATTTGACAAAGAATGTTAGTATGAAAAGGCCTCTGACTGGTGTGTGTGTGTGTGTGGGGAGGCATATTTGATCTTTATGATATATTATATATAATATGTAGAAATATATAATATTTGTTTCCACATCTATGACATAATTGGGCAATAATGCATGCAATATAAATGTGTTATTATAATCTGATAAAATTCAATTATAATTTAATTTATATTTTTGTTTCCACATCCATGACATAATTGGGCCATTCAACTATGCATATATGAAACCTATCGGTGAATTTAATCATGTGTTTTTTTTTTAATGGAAAATGAAAGCAATGACATTTCAGCTTCAAAGCAATAATAAGCTTGTCACTATTAAGCAGTAAGACGTACTTACCTTAGAAAATGCTTCATCGTGATTGTCTGCTTTGCTACAACTGTATAACTCACATTCGCGGATGGTCTGACCACCTGCACAAAACACAATTCAAAATAAATACTACAATGTAATTCTTTAATTGTTGTATTGCATTAAACGTGGATACAAATCGCAATAATGTCTTAAGGTCGTCAGTGTGGCGTTAGCCGGATTAAGACGTTGCCGTGGGTAACTGCTCCCACAACCAACATACGATCTCTACATAATCCACTTTCACATAATGTCTAATGCGTTATTTCATCATACATGAGTCGTTTATAATAAAGTCAAATATCACAGGTTATATAACACCAAATGGACTCATTTGCCGTCGAGCCTAGCTCTTTAATTTTGCATTAGGTGTTATTCTGCTCTGTTCTCTATTCTACACCACACACATGGTCGTGTGTGAAAACTGAGTATCAAATAATTGATCTGAGTATCTGATAAAATATAAATAAATGGCAGGAACATACGTTTCAAGATGTCGCTGTGAATTGGAATATGCCTGTCCTCCTCTCTCTGCAAGGCAGGTACCTGTTATTCCTCCATGATGAGCATGTGAATGAGGGAGGGCGGGCGCTTCAGAGCATCGCAATGCAGCGCTGCTGTGCCGGAAAGAACCCAGCAGACCCTGCTGTCACTCGAACTCTTGAATTCTTGGAAGTATTATAGATTTAACTGTTTTTCCATCATTTAGAATTGAATAGTATCTTGCTCTTCTAGAACCAGAGTGTGGGACATTCCTCAGTAAACTTTAAATTAGCATTTTATTCTAACATCTTGAAACTTCAGGAATCACAAAATTCATTTAATATAGGCTTCCCAGTTTATGTTAATAAAAAGATAACAAACAAGCAGCTTTGTCATAATTCCAATATCTTACCAACAATATAACCTTCTGCTTTCATATAGGGGAGCCTTCAAATATTAAGACAACAGACAAAAAAAAAGAGAGAAAAAAAGAAAAAAAAAGAGTTGAGAACCACTGCTCCAGCAGGACCACCAATACAACTTGGTATACAAACCTATAGTTTTTTGGTAAAACTTTACAATACGGTTCCAGTTGTTTAACATGAAATAACAATGAAAATTAAATCTATAAAGCATTTCATTAATTTCGACATTTACTTACAAAAAATGTATCTGTTCATTATTGAATGGACCTGAACTAACAAGAACCAGAAATGAACTTTTATTTTATTATTTACTAACATTAGCAAATATAAATAGCCTACTCTAACAAAGTGCATTGACTAAAAATAACATGGGACCTTATTGTTTACTGTATATTCATACAATTTTATAACTATTACTAACTTTTATAGAGTCTGGTGAATCGTCCAGGAGTCTAAAAACAGGAGTTTTATAAGCCAAAACCTTTATAATGTAAAGCCAACTTAGCATATTTGACAAACACCACTATTACTGATTAACTATGAAACATAAAACCACTTTAATGGTCATAAATAATAACTCCAAATGTGCACATGATACATAAAATATAAACATACATAAAACATGTTCAATACCAATAATACATCTAACAAGTTGAATATGAAAAGTTATTTTTCGATCTACAGTTTCATAGCTTTTCATAATTTTGTAATGCAAGTAAAAAAAAGTATTAAATCAAGAATACAAAGTTAAAGAATGTTAATACAAGTAATAATACTGGAAGGTAGTACTGTTCAAATCATAGTGCATAACTTTATGAAATATATTTTTCTTGTTTGAATGTACCATCTGAACTTCAATTTGCAATTTATATGCAAATTGGTGTATATAAAAATACAGACTGAAGGCACACTGAAGTGGACTTAAAATCCATAAAAATAAACACTGTCTTTGGCAAAAAATACAAACTCTTCTAAAGACAATCTGTGAAATCCATTACTGTACATTGTAGAGCTTTATGTCAGGGAATAGTGCCCATTGCAATGTGCTTTGTGATTGGACCCTGTTCTATCCAGATCATGCCCTTCCTTCTGCAGCCGATCTACGGCTCCCTCTTGTTGGACATCAGCAGATGAAGCAAGATGATACACCTCGTCATCAGTGGCATACGACTGATCGCCAGTGTAGGTCGGTACGACGTTGAACATGATGAAACCAAGTGTGATCACCACAAAAGACACGATATAGAGGCCTGTGAACTGTGAAGAAAGAAGAAAAAATATATATACGTGATCAAGCAAACTCTAGAAGCTAAAACTACTTCATTAAAAGATTTAAAACATAAAATAGTATCCACAGAAATATCAAGAATCGGTGCAAACACTCAAAATGTCAACACCCATGGCCAATTATTTCAGCATGAGGACTGAGACGAAGATATTGGAAAATGCGTAAATCTTTTTTTTTTGTGGCACTTTTATTGAAAATTTTCTGAAAATGTGTTCTTTCTACTGCTCACCTTGTAGTGAAAAAGGAAAATGCCACAGAAGAGGCTGAAAAGGTCAGCAGTCAGCAGCGAGAGGTTTACAGCAGTGGCGCTGGTCATCTTCACTATGACAGGCATGAAACTGTACAGCCCATACATGCACAGAGTATACGCAACAAAGAGCAGGCCTACAGAATACAAATATTTAGTTATCTAATGATAATCTAACTAGATAATATTATCTTCAAGTCAATGTCAATAAAAAAAGTAACATTTTACACTTAGTTACGCACTTATTCTCCAGTTCCAGCTGATGACAGGTATAGCTTTGGATTCAAGTATAGCCCTTTAAAACAAAAAGCACAGTTCACCTAAAAGGAACTAGGGCTAATGATTTACAATCATGTTTAAACGTTTGGGGTCAGTAAGATTTGTAATGTTTTTGAGAAAAATAACACTTTAAAATAAGTTTTCTATTAGAATATTTTAAAATGAAATGTATTCTTGTGATAGCAAAGCTCAATTTTCAGCACCATTACTCCAGTCTTCAGTGTCACATGATCCTTCAAAAATCATTCTAATATGTTGATTTGGACCTCAAGAAACATTTCTTATTATTATCAATGTTTCTTTTCAATTATCATCAACAGTTGCTGCTGCTTAAAATTCTTGTGGAAACACTAATATACTCTAAAATGTAACACATTTGCAAAATGCCAGCCTATGGTCTTCATTGGCTGCATGCAAACAACATCTCCTTTGACTGGAAGAGTTTGGTTTGTGTTGTAGACATGCGAGAAAACGCCGTTTTCAGTGCTGCATATCCAATGATGAGGACTTGCGCTGGAATTGATACCGGAAACCGACGCCATCGTTCATATCACGGTGTATCAAGCACAGAGGAAAGCCTCCGGAGCTGAAATTCAAATATGGTAATAGGCGTTTTGTTTCAGACACATGCTGTAAGCAGTAGACCAATCACAACAGACTGGGCCATCTGACCAATCAGAGCAGAGTAGGCTCTCAGAAAGGAGTCTTTGGACAAACCGTTTTCAGTGAGGTGATGTGCAATGTACATTATGATTTATTTTTATTTTTTTACCTTGGTTGCATGTAAATTTTTGACCTTGGATGCAAAACTAAATTAGGCACCTTAAAAATAATGTAATAGGGTCACTTTAATAAGAACAGCATTTATTTGAGATATAAATCTTTGATAACATTATAAAAATGTCCTTCTGTCAATCTTACTGACCCCAAACTTTTGCACGGTAGTGTACATATCGCTTCTCTTTTTCAAAAGCGAGGACTTCTCATGATGTGGCCATTCCCTTTGAAAATGAGGTGGTGGACATAAAACTTACATCTGCACACCACTGATGAGGGTCCCAAAGAGCCCTATCATGCCCAAGAACTCCGCCCTGCTCAGGTTTTTCACAGTGTATTCCTGACAGACGTTAGACACTGCATACAGAGCAGCACTGATCAACACAAGTCCATCCCCCAACAACACATGACTACCTGCAGTGACAGAAAAAGCACAAGAAAGAGAGACACAGATCAACTATTCTGGTGCACGATTTCAAGCAACAGACAAACTACAGTCTATGATAACCCCCCCCCCCCCCCAGTATAAAGTACAGTACTTACTTGAGCCTTGGTCTCTCCCCGCCAGCAGATCTGCTCCCACCATCGCCCCGACCCCAAACAAGCACACGGCCACAGCTACAAAATGCAATGGTCTGTAGCGAGTCTTCAAGAAGATCCACGAGAGCACCATCAGAACCGGGATAACAAAACAGTCCAGCAGCTGCAACACATAACAGATATTATATTATATTTGACACAAACACTCCAAAGTAGTAAGTGTGTGTGTGTACGAAGAATGTATTCTTACCTGTATACTTGTAAGCGTAGTGAACTGGTATGCCTTTACAACAGTGTAGTTGGCTTGCACATCCGTAAAAGCCATCAGAAAATACTTCCACCACTTTGTTTTTAGAATTTGAACAATATTACTTTCACCTAAATTATGGGGGGGAAAAAGGATTAATCCAAGCTGTGAACTGAAAAATATATATATAGCATATCTTCTGTACTAACTTGCATTGCTGGATGAAAACTACATGAGGTTTTTATGAGTAGTACATTTTAACTTTGGATGTTGAGAACACTCAATAAATATTTTAAAGATTTTTATACTGCCTTCACTTGCTATCAGAAACTTCCTACTTCTGAAGTTGTGATTAAGAACTCGTCACATTCAAGAGCTTTGTTGTTGAAAAGAACAGGAGTCATGGAGGACACCAGGTGTATTCTTCCCCATTTATTGGAAAAATCGTAATAAGTCTTTCCCTGCCAGAGTTTTTTTTTTTTTTAAGTTGCCAGCCACCGCCAGCATTTTTGATAATTTTAACAATTTTCATGGCCCCCAAAATATTTTGTTACATGAATATCTGAACATGCAATACATCAAAAGAAAGAGCATACTCTCTGTTTTTAAACAGAAAACCCATTTTATTCTAGCTTCATGCATTTTTTTTTAATCAACACTTTAGTGTGGGTAAGTTTCATAAAAAAGCAACATTGAGCAAAAAGCTGAGAAAATCTTGTTTTTGTCAAAGACTACATCTGGATCGGATTCAGAATGATGATCAAAACATAGATGGAGTCGATCGAGTCCATCAACACACCTAATGCTTGCACAGTCCTATAGCTCGTCCTGGGTCGACATTTCATTCGGTAACATTAGGCAGTTTTGATTTATATGCCGCTTAATGATGATCGTGTTATTTTACATAAGTATATGCTATTGTTTGTTTATGTTTGTCTACTTCTTCGCCTGTGTTTTGATCCGGAGATTCTGTCCTCTTTCAGAAGATGTGTCATAGCGCCCCCTACCATATATCAGTGAAAACACAGAAATCTGGAAATTTCCATCAATGGTGGGGAAAGAGTTAAAGCCAAAATGATATTTAGCATCCCATTCATTGACAACCATTTAAATATTCACCATGCTATCTAGATAGTCAGCTTGCTGACAATTCTGGAATTTCGGTCAAATACAGCCTGTGTATAAAACATACAATACGCTTCAAATGATTATTCATAATATGTCAATATGGACCATTTTAACAAGACAAGGTGATGTAGCTGTTGTGGGGGGGGGGGGGGGGGGGAGACTAAAGAATCTCAGTCACAGCAGCGATTGTTTTCTCTCCACCATGTTTAAAGTTTATGGCCCGCCCCACTCGGGAACTTCTGTATCAAAATTATCCCCAAGCTTCCCAGTGGTAAATACAACTTGAGAGGGTGTTCATGTCCAATTTTTAACTAGGAAACTTGTATTTATGATAATTTCGATAGCACGTGAAGGCAGCATTAATCCACAAGATTGGCCATACAGGCATGAATCCTTAAATAAGTTTATTTAAAATCTGGAGCAATCCTATGATAAATATGGTCATGGCAACATTATTCTGCCCTTCTAAACATCTGATAAAAGCAGTGAGTGAGTGAGTGATTCCATGCAGGGAAGGTGTGCTGCAGCGTACCTCTCCTGAAGGCTAAGGCTAAAGTATAGGTGAGCAGCAGCAAGGTGTAATTGAGAAAGCTTTGCAGCATTGGCGTCTCTACCCCAGCATCTGCCAGATACTGACATGTAACTGCCGTCCCACATATCAGCATGGACAGGGCCTGACCCATTACAATAGTTTTGAAGAGCTGCCTGTAAACACAATTCTCAAGTTACTATGAAAGAATTACCATGAATATGCAGACAACTGCCACTTAAAAACATTTTCAAACCATAAAATAGAAATCACACCATGTAAATACATCTTTGAGCGTGAGATTCCGAGGACCACAGAGGAATTTCCTCCAGCGGCTGAGAGTTCCCAAGCTTCCATACGTAAACAAGTCCTCTCCTGCCTCACGATCCATATTTTACACAGAGACCTAGAAAATTCAGAGAAAGTGTATGAAGAATATCACGTTGGAAAGGTCACGCTGGACGTAGGCAGAAGTACCGCCCCATTGTTTTAAACATCCAGGATACACACACGAAAGGACCATTTTAAACAATAAACTGACACAAAGACAAATGTCATTCAACAAAATTTAAACGATCCTCCTCCACGCTTGTAAACAATGGGGCGGTACTTCAGCCTACGTCCAGCGTGACCTTTCCAACGTGATTATGTAATGCCTGGCGTGTCGCAGACCAGCACAAGACGAACAATTGTGGTTAAAAAGTAGATCAATTTTTTTTTTTTTTTGAAAATGACCGATCGTTTCACTAGATAAGACCCTATTCCTCAGCTGGGATCGTGCAGAGCCCTTTGGAGCTCTTCAAAGCCCTTTGAAACTGCATTGATTTGGACTTCAACAATTTGGTTACCGTTGAAGTCCATTGTGTGGAGAAAAATCCTGAAATGTCTTTTCCACTGAAGAAAGAAAGACATGAACATCTTGGATGGCATTGGGGCGAGTAAATTATCAGGAAATTTTAATTTTGAGGTGAACTAATCCTTTAATGCAAGTCACATGATGTTGGGTAACATCTAGTAATTAGTTGAGAAAATAATCTTAATCTCTTCAGGAATGCACATACCCAATAATGTTGACCTCAAGTAGGCCTCTTTAATAAAAATAAGCTTTCCATGTTTAACTTACAGGTCATAAAACAAAAATTAAAAAAGTTAATTAGCCTTTTTAATACTCGCCAACGTTAAGTATAGTCATTAAATAAAAGTGTACAATATACTAGAAAACCTACACTAGATCAAGATATATAACAGCCTCTTAACAAAATATATATAATTGAAAATACTAAAGATTAACATGTAGCAATCACAATTTACTTTTAATTAATTTTACATAAAGACCTAATCAAAACATCCGCATAAGCCGAAAAAATAATAATAAAATGGGCTAAAGTTTGACTGAATAGCTCTGTTGTTTACATATGCAGACTAGCGCTTCGGCCACAAATCCGGAACATCTGAAGCTGTTATGGTTGTAATGCGGCACTACTCAGAGCACGTGGCGACCTGTCAGGCACTTTAGACAATTTTTTAATAGACTAAACTATTTCTTGACCACTGAAATCAAAATTGAGTGAACTCATTCATAAAAAAATGAATTCGTTTGCGTTTTAGTCTTTCTAGAAGCTTTGTAGCTTGATAGCGCAAAGCAAACGGTCTCACTGCCTTCTTCAGTTAGCCATGCTATTTGCTACGCTACAAAAACACGACGGCAAGTGTTTACAAATAAAAGAATAAAACCAAGGGTCTGTTAAGTACCTGAATATAACTGATCCGTCATGTCCGTAGTTGACGAATAATCAGATAAAAACCCAACCACAGAATCATCTTTCCATGAAAGCGAGAAATCATAAATGCGCTCGGTCAACTTAAGGCCCCGCCCATTTTCCCAAACAGCCAATTGGAGCTGATTGTACTTCCTCTTTATTAAATTGTGACCAATGGCAGCACACACGGAAGTTGTGTGCAATGAACATGTATCAAATCGATCAGAAACATAGATATCGTCTATGATCAGAAATGTACTTAAGTTATTTGAAAGATTAATAGTTTGGAAACGCCATGTTTAACTGAGCCGTTACATTTATTTCTATCAATGATTAATGAGAATTGTGATGTCAAAACGAGTCTATATCTGCAACTACAGTTGCAGCTGGACCCCTGGTCGGCCTTCAGATTGTTATGGGAAAGAAAGTCATCTTGTCCTTCAATCAAGCATGCCGACTCCAGTCCAGATTATCACCAAGGACAGGACTATTCGTTTGACCCTGCTAACGTTAGATTACATGTCAATATTCCTTGTTTATGAAATATTTTTCTCACTGGCACTACTTTAATGGCATGATGATAAAAACAATCGTGTAATCCTATAACAAAATAAATTCTATCAGTCTATGGTGTAAATTAGTAGACAAAAGCTACTTTATGCAGATATAAGCATAAACTGCTCCATTAATAAAGTGTGTGTGTGTCTCACACACACACACACACACACACACACACACAGCTGATGCAGTCTGTCTCAATTCTCCCTAGCAACCAAACCTTCTCAAACATCGCGAGATTACACGAGGTTCAAGTTGAAGAAACATGGCGACGTCTAATTTATTGAAGGTAGGAGGTCCCACAATGTGAGAATATTTTGCATCGTTTGCGTCTCCCACAGTGTTATGACAGCGATCCTATGAGCCGTTGACTGTGCGCTTCTAATTAGTTCGCTAAACATGTCGCGTTCATTTGAAACTACATTGTTCGAGTTGTTCATTGCAGCTAGTGAGGTTTTGAGCTATTATAATGTTTAGGGTTTCAGAGCTCTATTCAACTATGTCTCTCCTCACTGCACAATTTACAGTCATAAAACTACCTGCTATCATTGGACTGCATTGTGTGGATCATGAGAATGTAATAATATATATATGTATATATATATATATATATATATATATATATTTCTTTTTTTTTTCTTGAATAAAATTGCAAACCAAAAGTTAATCATTTAAATGACTTATATAATTCAGCCTGTGCATATCTGGTTTATGTCAAGCTCGAAGCTCACCTGGTGCCTCTGGTCTCTAATGATAAAGCTGTAATAATCCATCTACATTTATTATATTGTATGATAAAGCTGTAATAATCTATCTACACTTATTACATTGCACTGTACCTTCTGTTAGTGTTTTAAAATTTTGCTATAATGCAAAATTAATGAAATGTAATGTTTTTTTAAATGCATAAAACCCATAACATATTTTTAAAGAACTGTTTATTGTCCTGGATCTCCTTTCTTAGAATAAAGGCTCCCTGCAGTTTGAAGACAAATGGGATTTGATGCGGCCCATTGTTTTGAAGTTACTCCGTCAGGAGTCAGTTACTAAGCAGCAGTGGTTCGATTTGTTCTCGTAAGTTGTCTTCGATGTGACATAGTCTGGGCTGACTGAAATATCAAGAAGTCAGTGTACTGTACATCCAGACTTTTATTTATTTAACTAATGGTGCTATTTGGGTCTGATGGTCACCTCAATAATATCAACTAGAACTAACAACATACAGTAGGTTAGATTGTTGCACAATGAGTAGAATCTGATTTTAGATCATCTCTTGATACTGTGTTTGGCTTGCAGAGACGTCCATGCAGTGTGTTTATGGGACGACAAAGGCCCGGCAAAAATTCACCAGGCACTGAAAGAAGACATCCTAGATTTCATCAAGCAAGCACAGGCAGTACGTACTGTACCACTTTTGCACTTACTCTAATAAAGTGAAGATCATATTTAAATATCTCTGAAGAAATAAATTGCTGGAATCCCAGTCCTGTAATCAATGCATGCTGAGTCTCTTTCTGATCTACTTCAGCGAGTACTCAGTCACCAGGATGACACGGCTTTGCTTAAAGCCTACATTGTGGAGTGGAGGAAGTTCTTCACACAGTGTGATATTCTACCTAAGCCCTTCTGCAAGTTAGAGATCACCCTGCTGGGCAACCAGGGGAGCAATAAGAAGTCCAGTGTTGAAGACAGTATTGTTAGAAAGGTGGTTTCTATATTATCAATCTATATTATCACTTAAATGCAGTTGTTATTATTGTAACAATACATGCACAACATTAAGATGCACATCTATCCTAATCAACTGTTTCCTTCTTTTTTTGCCAAAGCTTATGCTAGACACATGGAACGAGTCTATATTCTGTAATATAAAGAACCGGCTCCAGGACAGTGCCATGAAACTGGTCCATGCTGAGAGATTAGGAGAAGCGTTCGACTCTCAGCTTGTCATCGGAGTGCGCGAGTCATATGGTAAAACTATTATAATGCTAAGCCACTCGGGTTCTGTCTAGATGGACCTCTCCTGATGGACACTCTTGTATTTTGCTCTGTCTCACAGTGAATTTGTGTTCCAACACTGATGACAAGCTCCAGATCTATAGAGAGAATTTTGAGAAGGCATATCTGGATTCCACAGAGAGGTTCTACAAGACACAAGCACCCTCCTATCTGCAACAGAACGGCGTTCAGAACTATATGAAATATGTGAGTGTATTTTTAAACTGCTCTCCTGCCTAAACTTAGTCACTAGTGTTGTCAAAAATAACATATCGATTCTGAATATTTGAAAATTTGAAATGGTTTTATACATTTATATAGTCAGTTGCGCCATTTTCTCACTTGGCATGTTTGGTTCGAATAAAACGAACCTTGTTGCGATTGCTCTGTTAGTACGGTTCATTTGAATAAGTGTGAACGCTGCCATCCGAACCCTGGTGCGCACCAAACAAAAAGTGGTCTCGGTCCCCTTCCAAACGAACTCTGGTGCAGTTCGAACGATATATGAACGCAACATGGACCAAAGAAATGTAAACAAACTAAAAACAGGAAGATGAGACCCTATAAAGGACAGAATGCTCAAGCATACCTGATTTTTCTCATCATAAGGCAAATTCACACTGCACAGACAAACGCCAACAAACCAGTTTGTTGGGTTTTGTTGGATCAGTGTTGCCTCTGTCGGCATTGTTTTCATCTGACTGAACATGTTCAATCAGCGTTTGTCGGTGTCTGTTTGGGCAGTGTGAACACGACAGTTATTTTTCATAAAATTCTAAATCTAACGACCAACGTGTTTGTTGGCGTTTGTCTGTTCGGTGTGAATTGGCCTATAGTCGTGATGTTGCCCATCACAGTTCAGTACAGGCATCAGAACCGTGTCCCCCCGCAGCAGATCTTCATTTGTGTGAGTGACGGAGGGATTCCTGCTGCTGTTTTGACTTCTTTACACACTTTATAAGCTCTTCACAAGTTCTCAGCAGGTCAAAATACCATAATATGTAGGCTACGCGCATACGAGCGCATCTAGCCCAGCACACAGCATTGTTTTGGATGTTTGGTAAATTCCATCTAAAAATAGGCAATACATAATAAAAGCCGACCCATT